AAGGAGCATAACACAATGCTCTGCAAGCGGTTCCTAGTTGGGAGCCACAGACGTGGTCACCCAAATAGACAACTGCTTGCAGAAGAGCCCTCGCACAGGCACGTCAGGAGGCATCTCTACGAACTGACGGACGACGTCCAGAGGTTCATCAGACAACCTCTGGACCCGGCAGCATATCAACAGGCCTTGAAAGGCATTCACAGAGAGGCAGTCTTGAGTTATATAGACTCTCGACTGTGAATGCCATTCTGGGCACACAACCACCAGACGTCGACGAGACAGAGCTTCATCTGCCTCGGGAGACTCGGACCACAACAGCCCAACTGTGCTCTGATTAGTGCAGCAGATTGAATTCATGCCTGAGCAGAATAAATGAAGGTATGATAAACGAATGCCCGGCATGCGGAGAGACGCCCCATGACTTAAAACATCTCTTCGCATGCCCACTGAACCCCACCCTACTGACGCCCCTGTCCCTATGAACAGACCCCATCGAGGCTGCACGCTTCCTGGAGCTACCGCTAGTAGAGCTTGACGGCAAAGATTGAGGGACTAACCGGTCGGTTCGGGGTTGTTGTAGCCGCTGCAAAAACAACAACAACAACGATCCCACCAAGAATATGGGTAGCGGCAGCAGCTCGCCTGACCTAACAATAGCTTGCGCGTGCCTACCTGCGCCAGGTCGATCCCGGGGATCCCAAAATCAGTGAGCGGAAGAAATGTGATGAACATCTGAAGACTTGCAACTTGGCCTCTGTTATGAGCAAGCTTTGGTCGATCCTGAGGACAGGAAATATCATCCGGCGATGGCGGCACGTCGGTGCCTCATAGATACACGAGTTATTTTAGCCGAAAGCATTTTTCGGTGGACAGATCAGAATGCTGCACAAATTGTCAAAACTCAGTGCGTATGTATTGAAACCGGGGAGAGAGGTCCCATTGCTTCAGTTAGGAAAGCTTGCTAGAAAATCGAAGTTTTATGAGCATGACCTCCACAAACTGCAAATCGCTATCACCTTCGTAT